ATAGACAGCGTGGCCCCACTTCGCTTCTGAGCCAGCGTGCACCAGAGTAGTGGTGAAAATCAAGCTCACAAGCTCTGGTGCCTGCAGAACGGTGCTCCATGTACTCATGATGTGCTGACACTCGTTTCGCTTTAAAGTAGCCGCTGTCGAGTCGGGACTTGACATGACTTGGTTTCTTGGGCTTTGGGTTTTTGTTCGCAACTGGCACCTGCAATTGAACAACTGAGCATGTTCCTGCAGGTGATCTTCTGATCGATGAGGCCACGGCACTTCGAACGCCAGAGAGGGTGTTCCATTTTGCGGGGATGGACCCCGAGTCGTGGCCTCACTCCATTCCAGAAACTTTGCTGCTCAACGGAGGGGCATTGGGGGAGCACTACCCTCTAATCGGAACGCAAGAACGGAAAGGCCACAGCAGTGCTGCCTGTCCCTCCATCTACCTATGAATCCCCATGAATCCCCGTGCAAGATCTCCTCTGCGGGTTGTAGGAGACTCGACACCCACACATGGACCAGCTGCAGCGATTTCTCAGACATGACGCGGACCCGACATGGTCGAAAGATCGATCTTTCTTTGAAGGTTTCCTTCAACGGGTTCCTCTAAAGGGTTCCTTTAAGGTTTGAGGGTCAACCGCAGTCCCTGGCTTTGCAGCCTAACGAAGTATTGGGGCTGTCGCACTCCCGCTTCAAGAAAAGAAAGTTCGAGCTTAGGCTTAGGCGGGGCTCTAGATATCACGGGTCCGTTTTCTACCGGTCCTCCTCTCTATTGTCCAGGGTCTAGATCAAGTTTTGACATGCGCTAGGGACATAGCAGTAGCTTTCGCATAGAGAAGCTGACGCCATGGGGAAGGGCGGCCGGGGCAAAGGCGGCTACCCCTGGTGGGAGCGACTTGTTGGCCCTGCAGCCGTTGTCCGGTGTCACACTTAGGGTGCTTAGTGTTGTAGGGTTCTGGTATAGTGTTGTAGGTTTCTTAACTCAGGGCTGGCAGGCTTTATCTAAGGGCTTCGGTCTGAGGCTTCAGAGCATTGAGTTCAGCATTGGGGACTCCGGGCGATCACTACTTGTGCTTTCTGATCCACTCTACTCAATTCGGGCCTCCTACCACGTCGACCCGCACTTGCAAACTCTGGACATGTCAGCGTTGGGCAAAAGGTGGGTCTAGTACAGGGAGGAGGCTTTGTAAAGGGTTGGTTTATTCTGCGGCTCCACGTGATCTTTGGGCTTGACCGGCTCGTTGTGGTTCGATGTTAAGGCCGTGCTCTTCGCAAGGGTAAAGCAGACCTAAAATCCCAAGCCCCGATACAAACCGGAACGTTGAGCCGGCAGCCTCTACTCATCGCAAAGCTTACAGGGTCGACGGATGTCTACGGTTTAACCAAATAATTGACGAGCCGGAACTCGTTTTTGCTCGACACTGCATTTGTATCTCGAATTGGGGGGTGGCCTGTTTCTGCGCAGCTTCTGCTGGCCTAATAGTTGATGATCGGCAAATAAGCCGACTGGACATGTCTTCCAGCATGGCTTTCGTGAGCTACACAGGTTTTCCTTTAGCCTGTAGACAAAACTTACACCTTCATCCGCCTACGAAGTCAAGGCACATCAAGCCCAAAGATGGAGGAGGCTGTGCACTTGTTCTTCGGGCAATTCTTGCGGGACGACGTACCGTCAGTTCAGATATGTTCAGATCTTGTCGGGATACGTCTTCTGGTTCACAGAGGCTGACATTTCTCCTTGGGAAGCCGGAAGCTCGGTTATTTCTCCTGGCCTGAAACCAGAACAGCTACTACGAATTCGGACCTTCGAAGGTTGAGGAGTGATCGTAGGAGTTCAGTGCCTGGTTGTGGCGCCCCGTCCTTTGGCCTGGCCAGGCAGCTGGCAAAATGCCTCTTGCCGGCAACCAGCGGCCGGAGTCCGAATTCACAGGCATAATTCCCGTGCAGCATGCAGTAGTCGCGGGTTTAAGCCCTGTTACCGCAAGCATTTCATCTTCCTGGTCGTCTCCGTCGCCGCGGCGGGGACGGTGGCGGTGGACCTGGTCGTCGGTGGATGTCGGTGGCGGCATCGTCCAAGTCATCGCGACCGTCAGCAACATGTACATCGGAACAGCATTCAGCTAGCTGAAGAGAAGACAGTCTGAATTATTGAATATTGAAGAACATGCACACCTGATTTTTTCACCTGTATGAACCAGACGCCGTCGACGACTGCAACTGGTACTGCAGCTGCTACTGTAGCTTATTATCATACTACTACTACTACTACTACTACTACTACTACACTACTCCTCCTCCTCCTCCTCCTGCTGCTGCTGCTGCTGCTACGACGACGACGATGACTACGACTACGACAGGGGGACTGTGACTGCGAGGACGACTACGTCGACTATGGCTACTGCGACGACGAAGACGATGACGACGCCGATGCCGACGACTACTACTACCACCTTCAGTCTCCAGTCTCTGAGGAAACTGCAGCTCCACGCAAGGCTCCTTCAGGCTGGCCGAGGGATCAGTCGTTTGGTTCTGGGTACGGGCACAGCCTTTGTGAACGATACTCGCGTTGATCACGATGATGAAGAGCGCCCAAGCTCGATTATGGCTGCCAGAGCGATTCGCCTCGCCGGCCTAGCATTCGGTTTCGGCCAGCTCCCATGGCTCCCAGACAGCTTCGCCATATTAGGCCATCCCTTGTGCCCGCGAAGCTATCTGCATGTGCGGAAAAGCAAAGCCCCGTGCAAACTAGCAAGCCTGCGCCAGAATGCCCGCAGCTGCATAGGTCCTCTCTCCGGCTTGCAGAAGCATCTGCAGGGCCTGGAGGGAAGGCCTGGACTGTCTGATCTAGTTTGTTGCAACATATGGTGAGAGGCAGCGGAAGGCTGAGATATAAATGTACGTAGCACTATGTCTGTATTGTTTTTCAATCGTGCAGAAACAAATACACTCAGAGAAAGCATTGCATACACGCACACACACAGAGACACGCGCACACGCACATGCACCTGACACATACATACAGACAAGCATACACAGAGACTCGCTCTCTCTCTGTCTCTCTCTCTCTCTCTCTCTCCATCTCTTTCTCTCTCTCTCTCTCTCTCTCTCTCTCTCTCTCTCTCTCTTTCTCTTTGTTTTTTCGTTTGTCTATCTGTCCAGCTGGCTGGCCGTCTATCTGGCTGTCTCTTTCACTCTTTGTATCACTGAATTTGTCAGTTTGATTTTCAGAGCCGCATACGGCCTCCCATCAATGTTCACAAATATACCAACATGATCATGATGTGCCTTTCGAGGCCTACACTTTCGCAGAAGACTTGCGAACATTTCAAGCTGCCACCAAAAAGTTCAGCAAGCACTTGCAAGTGCAGTTCTACAAGGAAAGTGTTTGACCAATGGTCGTAGCTTGTACATTCTGGGGTAGAGCCGCTCCACGCGAGGTATTGCTTATCGTGTCAAGCATGTGTGGAGCCGCATCCCGGCGCTCATCTTCAACAAATCTCTATACAACGTTCGGCAAGGAAGCGGGAGTGTGGCTTTCACTTCAAACCTCCACCTGACGAGATGTTAATTCCCAACATGACATAGTCACATCTTGGGGAGTAGAGGGGGTTCATTCTTCCTTGCTTCACGACGATAGCCCTAAGCATACCCTGTGCACTGCATCTGAGTTCTAGGTCGTTAGCATATTGGCCTGTCTTTTTGAGTTTTGACGTTTGTTGTGTTTGGACGAGAACTCCGTTGCTTTCGTATCGGTTAGTGTTGCGGCTTGTGATGGCTTGTGCAAGGGGTCCCTTATAGAACAACTTCTACTGAACTGGGCTGTCAGCTGCAGACGGAGCATGTCGGGACGGTTGGCAGAGGGTCGACACGAAACATGGCTGGCTGGCCTTTCCTCGCGCAGGCAATACCCCAGCTACAAAGACCTTTGCGGGGGCGGCTGGGACATTGAGACTCTCGGCCAAACACACTCTTGAGTAACCAACCCCTGCAAAGCCTCCATCGCTGTAGAGCCCATGGTACATAACTCGACATTAGGTGACATAATGTGGAGTTATTCATATATATATATATACACACACATATACCCATTTCTATGGGCCTCCAGATTCACGGGAGCCTCCATATGGAAAGATGAGTCTTTCAGATTTCAGGCAGTAATTTTTGCGGTTTGACGACAGTCATTAACAGTAGCAGAGCCCAACAAGCCGACAAGCTCAAAGAACGAGGCAGCGTTCCATGACTGTGTTCTTCGACCGTTCCTCGACTGCCGAAGCTTTGGGCAATCTGCAGGGTTTCGACGCCCCATTATCCCCATTGAGGTTCTGGGGTTCAGAGTTTTGGTATGCTTCGGTTTCAGGGTCAATTGCCTGGAGGCAGGGCCAGCAAAAGCACACGACAACAGCGACAAGAACTCAGGTTGGAGTCTGGGTCGGGGAAGTGACTCTTGCGCATTTCCCTGGCAGAAAATGCTGGATCTCTTGTGCCGAGCTTCTGCCACACCTCTACGCAGATGCCCTTGTCAGCGCCCAGACCTTTGGTCTCAATGTGACTACCCCTGACTGGTCCGGCAGTATAGTTACCCCGACAACGTTGGCAGAGCCTATGACTTTTCTGCCACAATTCTGAAACCACTCTACTTAACCCATCTGAATCTGGCTCCTGTGTTCAAGTCGTACCCTCATATTGTAAATTCCATATTTTCAATAAACTGTAAGCCCGAAACGGGTAAACAGCACCAAACCAGCTCTCCTCAAACCAGACCCATTAGCTAGTAATATAGGGTTTAGGATCACTCCTACAAGGGTTGTTGGGTTGAGGGTTTAGGATTTTTGAGCTCCGGTTCAGGGTTTAGGGAATGACTGCGAGATGCCTTTTATGGGGCGATGAGATGTGAAGCTCGTGGGAAAGACAAGATTTCCCTGGACAGCAGCTCGAAGAGGAGCACCTTCCAAGGCGTCCAAGGCGACGCCTACGCACCACCTTCCTGGATCCGAGCCAGAGTGCCCATGTCGGCAGCGCCTTGCCTGTCGTTACAGGCTTTAGCTTATCTGGGATTGGGGGTCAGGGCTTCAGGGCCTGGAGGGTTTAGAGGCTTCAATGTGCGTTGCAGCCCCTGCTCAAAAAGCAGTGTAGGGTTGAAGGCTGCATGGGACCAAGTTTACCCCTCCTCCCGAAGCCCAGAATGACGAAGCTAAATCTCGGCTTTCATGCTGCAGCGGTTGTGGGCACGCGTTGTGGTCAAGAACTACTCAAGCCTTAGATGCTTGGATGGGTTGCTCGAGCCACTTCTTTGTTCCTCGAATCAAGGACTACTTCCAGGAGATGCGCGAAATCTTAGCCTCAACGTCCACCCTACCGGCCGCCTTCTCCAAGCCACACGCCAGCCGACTCAGGCAAAGTTTCCGCCGGCCTACGTCACGGAATCTAGAATACGGAACACCGCACTATGTGACTCCCGGCTGGGTTTGCCGGGTTTGGGGTTTAGGGTTTGTATGGACTAGTTGGCTCCGCTTTAACACAACAGCGGGAGGAAGAAGATCAGACCCAGCTATTGCATCAGATGGCTTTGCCTCATGACACAAGTTTCGAGGCGTGAGAGCGGGTTTGTCATGTCGACACTATTCTGCCTCCCCCCTTACAAGAGCAGATCCCAGTACGGCATTCAACGAGCTTCCCTTCGAAAGTTGCTGAAATCCGCAAATCCTGTGGGCTGCAAAAGCTTGAACAGCGTTTCAGGAAGTTGAAGACTTCATATGACAAACAGGTTCAGAAGCAACGTCCTCATGGCTCAGGATTTCGTGACGCGAGTGCTCTCTGATCGTCTGCGCGGCGGCGGGGGCACGGATTGGCAAAGGCCTCAGCGAAAGCGAGACACCATAGCGCCCCACCCCCCACCATGTTCAGAACACTGACCTCGAGTAGCGCGGCATTTCGCTTCAGTTCCTTCGGTGGACCTGTGAGTCTGGCCTGTGTGGGCTTGATCTGTGTTGAGTAGAGCTGACCGTTTCGTTTTGGCAGCACATGGGAAAAGTGGTTCCTCCCAGACTCCTCCAGACATAGCTGCAGCTACCTCTTGCTGGCACGTAGTGATTTGGTGTGTTCGTTTTTTGGAGACCGCATATCTGCTAATTGACGACGAGGACCCCCAGACTTTACGATCAAGCTGGCCCTTCAGCCTTTGTCAACATGCTGCCGGCAACAGTACGGATTTCAAAGTCTGCGGCAGTCAACCTGTGAGCCAAGTTCGTAAATCCTTGATATCAGTGTCTGCCGAGGACGCAGGTGGTGCAGGGTGGTGGCTGGTCAGGAAGCAAGGGCGGAGATCTTCAAATAGCCGATTGGCGGCAGTCCGCAAGTCGATAAATTTGTCTAGGGCCCTCTGAACATTTGATCATTTCCTAGTTAGGCCTCCTTACTGTAATAGGTACAGAGGCCCCTATATTGCCTGATGCAAACTGCCTGGTCACAGATATCCAACGCAGTCATGGCCTGGAGCCTGGGTTTGGCGCCCATCATACTAACCCTATAGAAACCGTGTACATCCTACACACCCTAGAAATGATATGCTATAGAAACATCTGTGTTTAACAAGAGCTTCACATTCAGTTCCGAAGGTTTCCCCGACGACCAGATCCAGTCGAACACCTCGAATAAACCCGGAAGTCCCAAACATACACAGTGCCACACATACATGCACACACACACACAATATTGTGTATATGTCTGTGTGTGTATATGAGTTAGACACGCAAATGCATATGTGTGTGTGTAAATATACATACATATGTACACATACACATGCATTTGTTTGTTTAGGTGTATTATTGAATTGTTTATTTGCTTATACAAGTATATTTATGAACGTATGTATGCATGCATGTATGTGTGTGTGTATGCTTGGGTGTACGTATGTATGTCTGTATGTATGTATGCATGTGTATATATACATATATGTTTATATGTATCACAAAATTTCATTTGGCCCTTTTCAGGACACGCCTGGGCAATACGTGCTGGAACGCAGCAGCGTCGTTGCCAAAGCCGAGTTCATTGAGGCGTTTGAGCACATCCACCGGCGCTTTACTGTACATTTCCCTAACCCCCCAGGTGCCTACTATATAGGGCCCTAGGGGCTCTAGTACCCTATATAGTAGGTACCTGGGGGGCTTAGGTTTGTACGGATGTGTCGCCATGTTGGAGGTTCTCGTCACTTGTGTGGCGAAACACGGAGCCAACATTACAAAGCAAAAGCAAAGCAAAATGTGTGCGTGCACGCATGCAGGGTGTTCTTTCCGGCGGTGGCTATTTGTCCTTACGCTGTGCATGTGTCTGGTATCTCCAAATGTTCTTAAGTGGACGTGCGTGTCTGCTGTCATGCAGATGGTCTTACGTTTTTTGCTGTCCGTGTTGGATGATTCTGATCAGGGCTTTGCTGTACTCACTCACCACGGCTAGCGCAAGTCACGACTGCAGATAGGGATTAAACATAACCACATCAACAGCTCTTCTGATGCGGGCAAGATCCAAAGACCAACAGCTCCGGATCGTTGGTGTATAAAGGCGCGGGTGACTTTGGCGCTGCCTGCTCGCGGAAGGTCGATCGAGGGTCCCTTGGTTGTGGATGGACTCTCTAGACTCTAGAGCCTAGAGTTCGGTGTCTAATTGCATGAAGCGTTTGTCGCATTTCTGGTTTGCCCCTTGTGCATTTTCTGCGGATGCGCAGTAGCAGTAGCAGTCAGAGTTGACCTAATTTGAAACATTGGGCGATCTCGGCTAATTCAATGAGCTCCTCCCTTTTTGGCATTAGTAGTTGGGCACCGCGACGTTGTAAAGCGACGACGACTACTACTGTACTGCTGGTACTACAACCACCACTACCACGACGACGACAACAACAACCACGACTACGACTACGACTACAACCACTACCAATGCTGCTGCTGCTGCTGCGATCTGCTGCTACGACGACGACCACTACAACCACTGCCAAACCATCAGGAGACACTGCAGTCCTGCTGCCACCTTCCATCTTCCTTAGACTTGCTTGTGCGATCCTGCGTGCTTGTGATCGGGAAACCGGCAGCTAAGGATACCGAGCCGCAGACATCGTAGGTGGCCTCTGTGAGGCTGTGGAAGGCAGGGGTTGCTCGTTGTGGAGTTGAGGTGCGGCTCAGGGTGGGATGGTGAATATCACCGGGGCATCGTTCCTAAGTTAAGCCGAGCTTGCAAACGGAAAGTCTAGTCTATACTCCAGCATAGCAAACTCGACTGCGGATGTTGCGCGGGCTTGAATAGACTGCCATGTCCAGATGTCGAAGAGGGGAGGGGGTTCTTCCGTTGACGCATGTCTGATCTCTGCTGGTAGGAATCTGTCAGTTGGTCCCGGGCATAATAAAGCAGAGGTTGAAGGGATCTTCGCTGGAAGAGCCTTTGCTGTCGCGCATTGCTGACGCAACTTTGGGTGGGGCCCCGGCACTTAGGGTCTGAATCGCGTCCGTAGAGTCTAGATGCCAGCCACTACGCTGCAGCACACGAGCTCCGCCCGACATGCAAAGCCTGGAGGCTCCCTGTTTTACAAGTCTCTGGATGCAGCGGCTCTGCAGAGTCACATCGAAGCCGTCGAGGATCAGGACCCGCCCGGGGCGGTATTGCTGGGGAGCCTATGGCATGCCCATTCTGAGTGGACGTGCTTTGCCTTGGCTTTATTTCTTTGCGAGGCATGTTTGTCCACCCTCGATCCAACAACAAAGCGACCTGAATCCTTTATATGCGCCGTAAACCCAATGGCCGGAATCCCGAAAACCGCGCATGCTCTCTTTGACAAGGATGCCCTTCGCAAGCAGCTTTCCGGCTTAGGCTTGGTCGCCTTCGTGGGCAACGGGGCGATCCTCCCTCGGAAACTTGGGTGTATGCGGCAGCTGTTCAAAACCGGTCGCCGTGTTTGGTTCGGATCTCTGTACTGTAAGGAAATGGATTCGTCCTTCAAAACGGGCTTCGGGTGCCCACTCTATATATTGTCAATCTCAAGTAATTTGATGTGCACTTCGAGCTATTGGCTCTGACTTGAAGTGTGGGCATGTTAGGGCTTGGCGGCAACATGATTTAGTTGTCACTAGCTTGTAGGACTTTGTCCTTTGACTTCTAGTGCAATCTTGTCACTTTAGGATTCCAAACCGGGCTTTCATAATGGGGCGGCGCTGTCACATTCGTTCTCAATCTAAACTCCTTGTTTTGCTTTCGGATTCGAGGTCTCTGGGTTTGGCTGCATATAGGTCCTGTGGACCTGGACCTGGGTTCAGTGTTTCTTTTGGAAAGCCAAACAACAGGTTGTGGGAGACACCAGCCATATCCCACCCGTAAGACGGCTCTTTGCAGCCGAGGAAAAGCGGAGTGGACGACAGGCCAATGACCACCAAGGATATGGTCTCGTCTCAAGGTGGTAGTGCTGCGGGATATTGCTGCTGCCATCACTAGATAACAGATAACTTAGATAACCATCACCCTTTTTCGGTCCTAGCGTGGCCGATGTTGACATGCTGTGCATTGCCAGGATTTCCATCGACGAAAGATCGAGATGTCTTGCTCCCTCACCAACCCACCCACAGTCAAGCCTCGGGCTCTGCAGACATGCACACGAAAGATCGCTGCAAAGACCGCAAGAGCAGGACTCGCCAAACCTGGTGACATTCGAGAGTCCTACTTCCATGGAGGTGACGGTGTCGCTGCCGCATGCAGGACCCCATGCAGAGGGCTTCGTGTGTCTTGGAGTTTTGGCGCTTTTGGGTGGACAGCATCTTAACGGTCTTGTTAACAGCTTTGACAGGTGTCTGGCCACCGCAGTCGTTGGCGGTCTGCAGGGATTCGGTTCAGTTCGGGAAACTGAGCTCACTCACACACTGCTTGAAGTGCAAATACTGAGCAGCTGGGGACCGAAGTGCGATGAATCCTTGAGTTTAAGGCTTGAGTAGGCTAGTTTTCGAGTTTTCCATGAACCTATAGGAAGTATAAGTCGTGAATGCGCAGCCCTTGGCACAGACGTTTCGAGCTAACGGAGTCACGTCCACCGTCCACGAGAATCCCGCGCGAAGGCGCAGACGGGCCAGGAACCTGTGAGACAGAATCCTCAACGCCAATAATAACTAGCATTATTCCTTGGGTTCCTTGTATGTATATTTGTATTATATCTGTGTATATATATACATAGACAACTATATATATATACATACATACATACATACATACATACATACATATATATATATATTTATAAGTATATGTATATGTTTATGTATATGTATATGTATATGTATATTTATGTTTAGATTCGTTTATATATTATTTATTTATTTATCTACTTATGTATTAGATACCGCCGAATTCCTACTCTAGCTATTATAAGGCCCCTACAATACTGCAAGTCCCAAAGCCCGGATTCGAAGGAGATGTTACTGGCATGGGGATCCAGAAGGGTGTGACCCTTATCGTTGGCGGCGGCTTCCACGGCAAGAGCACACTGCTGCAGGCCATTTGCTACTGTAGGCCCAGGGTTCGATGGCTATGATTATTGACGGTGCTATTTAATCGTGTAACCACTGTGGCTACTGCTGTTGAGGGGACAGGGCTCCACTTCAGCAAGAAGCCTTTGAATGTCGCAGAAGCAAGTATGAAGTTTGGCAGTGAAGCAGAGGCGCTGCAGCTGGGCATTTACAACAAGGCAGGGGGCAGAGCTGATAGCCGTCATGCAAGGGCCCCCGGCCTGGAGAACTTGCCCCTTTCCGGGATGGTTTCCGTAAGTCGTGGGCGTGCGGATCTCAGGCCATGGGCCCCAGAAGAACAGACGGATTTCCCAGACAGATCAGCGCAAACTTACGCAGAATGCCGCCCAGAAGGTCAGACAAGAATTACCGACGTCAGCGCAAACCTTGCTGCTCGAAGTGAAGCGCTTTTCACCCAGCCGCTCCCGGTCCAGGTAGTAGTAGCACGAAATGTCAATGCGGGGGTCAGGGTGTGCCATTTGCTTTTGTGATCGGCTGAGGAGTCCGGATATCACGTCGTCCACTCCTGTAGTGGGCTTCCAGTGCCGCAAATTTAAGGACCAAGTAAATGAATAACTTATAAGACAAACAGATAACTTATGACGGTTCTGAAGTGCGGCTCAGGGTGCACTCTTCTGGATCTAGAGCTCGAAGCCTCAAGGCTACAACCAGTCGACAAAACTCCGCGAGGTTCCTGGAGACGGCCGGGAGCACGTGGTCTGCGATCCCCAAGCAGCGTCCGGATCTGTTTAAAGACATTGTCGGGTTGGCCGGTCGCTGCAGGGGGGGCTTTCTACTTGGCCGGCTGCGTCGGACATCGGTGCTCTACCCATGGGGCCCCTAAGTAGTTCCTTTTGGGGATTACCTTATAGGATTCTAAATATAAACCATAAAAAGGAACTACTTAGGGGCCTATGGGTACTTCATGTGCACCTAGCGTGGCAGGTACTCGCGGGCAGATGTTTGGTATAACCTTCAGGTGTGCAGTTCCCGTGCCCACCCACCACCATGTAGCTCAGGTGAAGATCCGTGCTGAGGACGGCCGATCTGTCAAAAGTGCGGACATCTCTCCGTCACTTTGCGATAAAGTTTAGTACTTGCATACTTTTGATACCGCAGCCCCAAACAGTGGGAAAGCAGAGGCCGTGAGAGAGTTCTTTGATGGTCCAAAATTATAGTTTCATGACTTATACTGATACGCATCTCTTGGCTTGCGGTTTTGCAGTCTGAGGTTCATCAACAATTTGCCGTTCGGCAAGCAGACGCAGCAATTCAGCACCGGTGATGCCTCGGGATCGACGTCGCAGGCTTGTGGGCTGCCCGACCCCTGAAAAAAACTGGGGGTGGGAACCCTATGGCTTGATCCACGAAGCTGTCTTGAAGCAACAAATGACAAAGAGGTCCCTGGCCGTATGCGCCTCCCAACCTCAGGCGATGAAGGCATCCAGGCGAGTGGTGCGCTGTCCCATCCTAGCAGTCCGACCAGTAAAGTGCAGTGCTCTTCACGTGCAGGCCGCCAACATCGTCGAAGCGTTAGAGGTCGGATGCACAACCCTCCTCGTCACCCGGCTGCCCGACATCACGCACGCTTGTCTGCGAGCTTTGCCCGACTCCTTCCTTTCAGCCCGCAGATGTTTGTCTAGTTCTGGGTGCACATGGTCGCATGGAAACCACCTGGCAGTCTAGCTTAGGCCTCCAGTTGAACTGAGCCTACATAATAAGGCAGAGCCTCAAAACTTTGCACAAACGAGACAGTGCCTGCAAAGCAGACTTTGCAAGACATACTTACCGACGTAGGTACATACATACGGACATGCAGACACACACATACAGCACGTACACACTTACACACATATATACAGAGACGCAATAGAGAGAGGGGGGAGCATGCTGGATAGGTAGTATTTCTCCAAATCGCAAGACAGAATGGTGGCTTGTGGACTTGGGATATCTCTGTTGTGTGGTTGATTTGTTGGTGTTGGTCATGTTCCTACTGCTCAGGGTAAGGGTGTTGAGTCGAGTTTTTGCTGTAGTGGTTTCCGTAGCATTTAAAGTTTAGTTTCGTCTATCACACTCCAAGGTGTAGTTGTACAAATCTACACAAGCTATCCTGGCTCTTGGACAGCACTTTGCCTGTGACATGGATGCCTGCTGGCGAATGTGTGCTCAGTATCCAGACAGTCCACAGGAGGGAGATTTCCTCTCAGCACGCCCTAACCCTAGAATCCTAGAGCTTTAAACCAACAACTCCAGGGCTCTAATCCGCATCCCTGTGGTCATCACCCGGGTAGCCGAGGTCGACGAAGATACTTGTGCGACCAACTTTATGATTCGTGATGAGAAGATGAAGGCAGGGAGAGGGGTATTCACCGTGTATTCTGCGCGATCAATGCCTCCAAAACCCTACACCTCGCAGGCACTCGTGGCCCCGGACAAGGAGCCAATCACTGCCTTCGTGTGTAAAGTCCGATCGCTGCTCGAGGAGCAAGGAGTCTCCACAGCGACTCGGCATCAGGTCGAACGGGTCTGCAGGAATCAGAAACTTTTCTCCTCCCTCCCTCCCTCCCTCCCT